TAAAATGTAAAACACAATATACAATCGCAAGGGCCTCTTTATTATAAGTGTCGTATTTTACTTCATGTTCGTTTAAAGATCTTGACGCATAAGCAATGGGCATATCTTTACCAATTTCGCCTTGTGATAATATGCCGCCAATAGCATAACCGGATGCATCAGTTGTAAGAATAAAAGGTTTTTCAAAATCTGGTCTTTGTAGGAGTGGTTCTTCGCAAAGTTCATTTTTTAAAATTTCGAAAGCTACTTGTTGTTTATCTGTCCATTGAAAAGTTACGTCCTTTTTCAAAAGTTGTGTTAAAGGTCCAGATTTTTTAGAAAAATTATTAATGAATCTTCGATAATAACCGGCAAGACCTAAGAATTGTTTTATATTTTTTACGTTTTTGGGAACTGGAAAATTTTTAACAGCAATTATCTTTTTCGGATCAGGTCGGACTCCATTTTTATCGATTATGTGTCCAAGATAAACTACTTCGGGTCTGAGAAATTCGCATTTATCTGGTTGCAATTTTAAATTCGCATTACACAGTCGAGACATAAAATTATCAAATTTTTCTTGATGTTCTTCAAGAGTATTTGCGAAAATTACTACATCATCAAGGTATACAAATAAATCTGTACCAATAAGACCGGATAGGCAACAATTCATTAATCTTTGAAAACAACTTGGCGCGTTCTTTAAACCGAAAGGCATACGGTCAAATTCATAGTGACCATATGGGGTTGAGAAGGCTGTTTTGTGAGAATCTTTTGGACTCATTTTAATTTGATGAAAACCGGAAGCTAAGTCAAACACAGAGAAGTATTGCGCATTTCCAAGGGTCTCGAGCACTTCGTTTATATTCGGTAGCGGAAAAAAGTCGGTTATTGTTTTTTCATTTAATTTACGAAAGTCTAATACCATTCGCCATTTTTTATTTCCATGACTGTCATTTTTTTTAGGCACGATCCATACTGGTGTATTATATGGGGATTGAGAAGGTTTGATTATTTTATTTTTTAAAAGTTCACTTGTTTGTCTTAAAAGTTCTTCTTTATGCACTGGGGGAAATCTGTATTGTCGCGTGAATACTGGTTCGTCGTCTTTAGTAGGGATGTTATGTTGGAGAACATTGGTAGCTGTTAAATATTCACCTGGTAAATGAAATCTTTCAGAATATTCCGCGATTAATGCTTCTACATGTTTTAATTCATCTGGTTTTAAATGATCTAAACGAAGTGAATCTAATATTTTTTCAATTCTTTCTTTACCCGTAATATTATAAAATCCAAATTGCTTATCGCACAAGGTTTCTAAATATACAAAATTGTCAAATAATTTTTCCGCGGTGTTATTTTCAATATTTATTTTATTATTTTTAATTTGATTTGTGTCAGAGGAGTTATTAAAAATTTCGTCATATTCTTGTAAAATTACTTTCGGAATTTGTATTTTTACTGAATTTGATAGAGTATTTGCTGCTTTTACGTATGCTTTACCATTATTATTTATGACTATAGCGTTTCCTATGTAAACTCCAGGTTCAGTATTTAAAAGTGGAACATATCCTTCTTTTAAATTAGAATTTTCAACAAATAAAAATATGTCAGATATTGATCGAGGTGGGAGAGTAATAAAATTTCTTGATGCGAAATAGAACATTTTTCCTTTGACTTCTAAACATTTTTCAGCATAATTAATTTTGACATTATTATCTGTAAAATATTCTGATCCTAAAACTCCATCTTCTTCTATGGGAACTTCATTAGGTATTATGTTAAAAGTTGTGGGATAACCGAAAATATTCAATTTTGTTTGTCCTAATGTGTGTACTGGGTGTTCATTTATACCTGTTAATTGAATTTTCTTTAATTTATTTAAAGTCATTGTAGAATCAAGCATTTTTTCTTTTAAAAGATTTAATCCTGCTCCTGTATCAATCATTAAATGAAGTGGTTTAGAAACTGTATTAACATAAATAGATGGTATCATATTTCCTTTAGTACAATTGATTTGAATGGTTTCTAAATGTTCAGATATTTGCTTTTTAGGCACGCTTTTTCTGTTAGCACCTGTCCCATCGTACCCGATATGGGAAGGTATTATTCGTTTCCCTGGTTCATTAAAGTGGATGATCGATACTGTTGACCTTGATTATAATTATTATATTCTCTTTTTCTGCAATTTTTAATAACATGCCCACGATTTTTGCAATATTTACAAGTAACATTAAAAAATCTATTTTGTTGATTAGTACGAAAATCATTTTTATTTGGAAATTGTGAGTTTGTTCTATTATGTAAATTTTGGGGAAAACCCGAAAATCGTAATTGTAAAGGGGAATGCTTTTGTTCACTAAACGAGGGGGACATCCCTCTTCTTAGATAATAGACAGGTGGTCTCTGCTTCATGCGGAATACGGAGCGCTGGTACCTATGCTGTGCTGAGTATTGATTTTTTTCTGACCTACGACAAGTGCGTGAAGTATGTCCTTCTACATTACAATTTTGACATACTACTATATCTGTACTAGCAAATGTAATTTTTGCATTATTTGACCTACAAGAATTTTCTTTTCTAAGCTCTACAACCGCATTTAATTTTCGTTCTGCCTCTAATGCTTTGTTTGTTGTTTCTTTTAAAGTTATGCAATCTGGAATTCGAATTTCTAATTCTGGACGTAGCCCTCGACGAAAACAGGATATTATATCTACTTCTAAAGTTTCTAACATCGTTTTGGATAATTTACCGTCTTTACTCGATAATCTGTATGAGTCAAAAATCTGATCCGATAATTCTTTTACTCGATTCGCATACGATATGACACTTTCATTTTCCTTCATAAAAATATTTCCTAACTCTCCTTGCAATTGATAGATACTTTTATTTGGTAAATATATCTTCTTTAAATGAGCTTCTAACTCCAAAATTGTTTTAAAAATATTTCCCGATATTGATTTTCTAACTTCTCCTATTAACTTTGCACGAATTAATTTTACTAAATTTTCCTCCACTTGGGATGAATCTGGCAACATTAATTTTGCTTCATGGCAACCTTCTATAAATGAAACTACTGGAATATTTTTTCCATCGAACACAGGCACTAATTCTAACGCGTCGCGAAGAGATACTTGTTGATTATTAGGTAACGACATAACTAAGCTTTTTATTTCACTTTTGTATCACTTTCACTTAGAATTTTGATTTGTGTTTATGAGTGTACATAAAAAAAATTAATAAAGAAATTTCTAGATTTGTTGGTTCAAGGATATTTTTCTCTCTCATTTATATATTTGAAATTATTTGAGGAAAAATAATTTTTTTTTTTATTTCTCTTTTTTTTTATCACAACAAATGATGCACCAAAAATTATACTGTTAATGCATCGATTTTTATATTATTAGTTTAAATTGTCTTTTTTGTTCACAACGGACAAAGCACCAAAAATTATATTTTTAGTGCATAGTTTTTAAATTTATATTCTCTTTCTTGTTCACAACGGTAGATGCACCAAAAATTATATTTTTAGTGCATAGATTTTAAATTTATATTCTCTTTCCTGTTCACAACGGCCGATGCACCAAAAATTATATTTCCTCTGTTACGTCTCAAATAGAGAAATAACTAAAGAAATAATATTTTATTTTATTTGTGGCCGCTCGGTGATTCAGTGAATTCCTGTTTCATTTACAGAGCAGAAGGCTCTGAGCTAAGGGTACAGGAAAGAAAGAGAATAGTGATTTTTAATGACAAGGTTACAAAGTTATTTAGACAAACATTTAGAGTTATAAAATTGATCTTTGAGAGAGAGTATCCTGAAGCAACCATTCTTGAAATAAGGGAAAATCAGCATTCCACTGCAACAAGGAATGTAAAGGTTACTACAAATTTTTATAAGGAATTAGGAAGGATTTAGATAAAAAGTATTACAACTTACCTTGAAAATTTAGATGTAAGATGTATGAAAAAGGACCACTGCTGTGTCCTAATTATGATAGCAACTTCTGGTACCAGATATAGTTTGAGAGCTCACAGGAAGGTTGACGGGCCTTGGTGATGACCACAGGTCCGGAGTTCAGTTGATTGAATCAGCTCTTCTTGACGTAGAAACTTTTAACACTTGACACAGAGATTCTTCTAAGTCAAACTTGAGTATGAAATCGAGCAGAGTAACAACGCTTGTACTAGATTTCGTATGTGAACTGGTACCAAATATGAAGTAGAAGTAACGTGTATGATGAAAAGTTCTGAACTGGTAGATGTTACACGTATGAAGATGTTTTGAGAACTGGTTGATGTTATACGTATGAAGAGGATTCCAGAACTAGTCTCTCCATGAAAATGTAGCCCTTTTATACTGAGTTTTCGTAAGAGAATAGATAAAATTTTATTGTCCTACTATATATTTTCACCCTAATTTTGGAAGTCAAAGTTCAGTCCTTCTCTCTCAGTTGAACGTAAAAAGGGGGGTGTGAACCAGCTTCTTCAAGATACAAAAGTATGACTATGATTATTCGCAGCTGTACTCTTCTAATGTGGTGATACCACAGGGGTTCGTCACATAGGATAATTGGAAAGAGCGCTTTTATTACATCGTTTGATTTTAGCACATAGGGAAAATTAGAAAGGGATCATTTTGTTTTGTGGGGGTGTGAGCTCTTCTGGTATCATAAAAGATTTCTCGCTTCTATTTGTATGTATACAGAAATAGAAATACAGTAGATTGTCGTAGAAGGATACAAAACGCAGGGGTCTTTTATATATAAAAGAATGATGTTTAGTTGCACGAAAAAAAGGGGCGGAAATTGAACATTTAAGAGAAAAGTATTTAGAGGCGTAACAAAAACACGTGTGCTTGTCGCAGAGACATATAACTCGGTATTGATTAAAAGGATTCTTATAATTATGAATGTAAAAGTTACGGTGACGTGACAACAATTTATTCAAATATAGTATGAAAAAAAAAATTTTTTTTTTCTTAAAAATTTCTTTTTTAAATATGATTTTGTTTTTACAGTGAAAAAAAATACCTTCGCGAACCATATGCTGAACATCTTCTTCTAAGTCCAGACTCGTCAGTTTCACCAGTTGGATTTTTTGGAACTATTCTAGAGAGAGTTACGAAACATCTAAAGATGTCTTTAATGTTATAGTCGTCTTTAGCAGAACACTCTATGACTTTGGCCCTGAGTTTGGGAAGTTCGCAGAAAAGCCATTCACTCACATCCTCAATAGCAACTTCCCTTCGTGCTGTTGCGAGATCCAATTTATTTCCCGCTACAACTATAGGTACTTCCTGTCACAAAGGAGTAAAACAAAAATCAGTTAAATATGTTTTAAAACTATATATATAATCATAAAAGTTTATTCTGCAATTATTGTCTTCTTCAATATATTTTGGCGATTTTTCTTTTTCAAATCATTAATAAAAATAAGTATAGGAGAGAAACGGACAAAGACATTTTTCAAAATAACTTCTCTATTTCTCATCTATTACAAACATGTGCTTACAGTTTATCATTAATGTAATTAGAGTAACCGTTTAGAAAAAAAAATTGTCAAATCTTAAATTTGGATCAATCGTACAATTAATCGTTTAGATTTTAAAAAATTTCAATTTATTTAAAAAAATAAATTAAAAAAAAAAATTTTAAATGGTCGAAAATTATTTTAAAAAAATTTTTTTAACATAGAATATGGTTTTAGGTATATCAAAAATATGACGAAAAAAAATTGACACCTCTAAATAACTAAAATTTTTATTGATTTAAATTTTACTGTTAATACTTTTAAAATTCAACTTCTTCTACAATTTCTATTATTTTTCATCGGGCATTTTTATATATACCCTTTTTTTGTGGTTTTGAACAATCAATTGTATGGGTTTTTAGAATTTTCAATTTTTTAAAAAACAACATAAATTTTGAAAAGTTAATATTTCACTGTTCCCTCCCCTTAACTATAATAAGAAATTATTTTTGAGTCAATCCATTATATTTCACATAAAGTCGTTGCAGTCTATTTTTAGAAAAATCTTTAGATTTAATCTTTCGATTCGTTAATCTTTATATAAATCTTTAGAAATTTTTAGAAATAGAATAATCATTTTTCACAATTATTTAATAAAATTTTATACATGGTGTTCCAAAAGTATACTGTAAACTTGATGGTATCATTTTGGAATGCAACGTTTTGAATCAATATAAGGTATCAAATTGATCCAAATATTTGGATCATTTTCAAGAAATGATCCAGAATATGGGAACATTTTTTGATACCTGAATTGGTATCAATTATATAACTGTCATGGCTGGCATGCTCTTATTGACAAGTTTATTAATTAATTTATTCACTGCACTGAATATTCAGATATTAAAAATACTTTTATTATGAATTTTAAGAAAGAGAGAAGCGAAAACTTATAAATTGCGAGCAATTAAATAAGAAAAAATTTATTTCGAAATAAAATGAAATACACTAACCTTTATTTATGTTTATCACATAAGATTTAAGTTAAGTTCACAATCACAACACTTGAAAAATTTTAATTATTTTTATGGTTTGTCCAAGCAGAGTTGGGTAGGATTGAAATTATGTCCAACAATAATTTTCAGAAACTGTATGCATTTTCCAAATTCTCGCTATGAGCGCTCAGTTATCATGAAAAGGTTCTCAACCTGTTTATAAAAGTATAGTTTAGTTTTATTGATTGAAACATTAAATTTAAATTAACATAAAACATTTAATTTTAACATTAAACATTAAATTTTATTAGTTAAAACATTGCAATTAAGAGGTAAACGTGAAACAGACTATAGTTTTTAATGTTTTTGATCAAGACAACGTTCGACACTCTTATCAGAATTTCTAATTAATAGAATTTTCATTTGTCTAAACAAAGATCGCAACATTTGAATTTTTTTCATTATTTTTACAGTTCAAATTATTTTTAACAAAACTATTAAAAAATAATTATTCAGTTTTTCCCTATTTCAAAATTACATGTGCGTTAACCTTAAACGTGAAACAGAATCCTACCCAACTCTGTTTTGGACGAACATATTTTGGGCTCTTGTTTCCCAACCCTGTTTGTTTATAAATGTCATATATGTCGATTATGATATTGTGTAATAGGAAATTATTAATTGCATTAATTGACAACGCATTAGAAATATTTATCAAGCGTGCATTGCTTAAATTTTGTTCATTTATAATAAATAAATTATTGATAATTATTTGAACCATAAAAATAATTAAAAATTTTCAAGTGTTGTGATTGTGAACTTAACTTAAATCTTATGTGATAAACATAAATAAAGGTTAGTGTATTTCATTTTATTTCGAAATAAACTTTTTCTTATTTAATTGCTCGCAATTGATAAGTTTTCGCTTCTCTCTTTCTTAAAATTCATAATAAAAGTATTTTTAATATCTGAATATTCAGTGCAGTGAATAAATTAATTAATAAACTTGTCAATAAGAGCATGCCAGCCATGACAGTTATACTTTGATACCAATTCAGGTATCAAAAAATGATCCCATATTCTGGATCATTTCTTGAAAATGATCCAAATATTTGGATCAATTTGATACCTTATATCGAATCAAAACGTTGCATGAGTTGATCTTAATTCTCGTATCAATTTGATACACACAAGAAAACTGTGATATGGAAACTTGCAAATATCGCGAAAAATACGCATTTTCGTGACACTTCTTTTTTCACTGTTGGGTCCCGGGTCCATTTTTTTGGCTTTAAAAATGTAGATTTTTTTTTTCGGAAACAACTTTTTGTTTTGAATATTTTTCACGAAAATGCGTACTTTTCAAGATATTTGCAAGTTTCCATACTTTTGGAACAACCTGTATATTTACTTTGAAATTTGAAAATTCACTGCATTTGGAAAAATATACTTTAGAAAAAAAAAATAATAAGAAAAATGTAAATATTAGGAAAAATGTTTATTAGAAATATTACAATTAGAAAAACTGAATTAGGAAAAATGTTTGAAAAGAACACTAAATAAAAAAAATAAATAAATAAATAATAATTTGTGTCAATAAAAGGAAATTTATTCAAAAATTAAATCTTTATAGAAAACTGTATTTAAATTGAGTTTAATAAATTCTTCTCTATTATATGAGCTTAATGAAATTTTATGAATATGCTTACTATAATGAAAAGGGAACAATAAAATGGTTCGAATTTACAGGAAAGTTTTGTTCAAAAAGATGGGATATTTTTTAAGAGTCCCATTCTTTGGATGATTATAAATGCACACATTATTTACACACATGAGACATATATGTATATATTATATATGTATAATATTTAATTCTCTATTATTTCAGAAGGATTGTATACTCTATCATTTGAAATGCAGTTATGGTATTATATACGCATATTTATCGCTCTAATACCTGAAAATCCGGCCTTTGTTCTCGGACTTCCTCAAAACATCGTTTGACGCATTCGAAACTTGGTAGTGAAGTGGTGGCATAAACCAAAAGGAAGGCATGAGCTGTCGCTATGCTCAGCCTTCTCATGGCCGGAAATTGTAAGTCTCCTGCAGAATATCAATTTAATTTAAACTTTTTGAATAAACTTCAATTTTATCAAGCTCCGTTTTTTTCTTTTCTATTTTTTTTTCTTAATTTTACAAGCATTTAAAATATAAATTTGCACTTCAATGAAATATTTATATATTATTACATTTTTTTTAAATACATTAATAAATGGAATTTCATGTTTGCATTTTTAAAAAAACAATTTTTTCACTTATTCAATAAACTGAATTTATAATTTGTTTTGCAATTCAATTTTTTATAATACTTTGAATTTTTGGAAATTTTGAACTGTTTCAAAACAAAATTTTATCTTTTTTTCTGAACCTGACAAATTTTTTTTTTTTTTTTTTTTTGTTTAAAACATAAAAAATTTTATTGAATTTCTCAATTTTTTCAAAAATTGGGAATTATTTTTCAACAAATTGATCTCTTTGATATTTTTGATATAAAAATTCCTGACTTTTCCCTGATTTCCATGAGCTGTGGAAACCCTGAAAATATTTGTTTAAAAATCTTTATATTACGTTAGAACTATTATAATTATAGTTAAAAGAATATTTAAAAACGTATCTTTTGATATATTTGAGCAATTTTAATAATATTACAAATTTAATTAATATTAAAGTTAATTATTAATTAATAAATTAAATTAAATTAAAATTTTATTAATTAATTATTAAAGTTAATATTAAAGTTGCAAAAAGCAAAATATTTTATGAAGAATTTTAGTTCAAAATTTTTATATCAATTTTAAAAATTTTCTAAAAAAAAAAATTTTAGTACCGTGGATGTACCAGTTACCGTCCATGTCCCAGTTTCCGTCCATTTTTACATATGTTCGTAAAATTTTTTTTTTTTAATTACCTGATGAAATTATTATTATTATTATTATTATTATTATTATTATTATTATTATTAAAATAAAAAAAAGACAGTTCCAAAAAAACTTAATATATAAATATTTCTTCGATTCATATATTATTAAATTTATCGTTTAAATATTTATTAAAAAATAAATAATTTAAAAATTCATCTTTGAAAAATGTTGTGACGTAAGTAAAAAGCAAAATCAGATTTAAATCGAAAAAATCGTGTTTTTTAAAAATTTTTTTAAAAGAAAAATGTAAAATAAAAAAAAATTGAAAAGAAACGACACGAAAGGAAATTAAAAAAAAATAAATTTGTTTATAAAAAATTACCTGCTGTATCGAGCAGATCTACTTTTAGCGTTAAAGTTCCAAGAATACATTCTCTAGAATAAAGATCTTCAACAGTCGCTCGATATCTTTCCGTGAATCCTTGGCCAAGTAATCGACGGATAATTGCGCTTTTTCCAACTCCTGCACCTCCAAGTACAACGAGTCGGATTCTCTCGTAGTCTGACATTATCTTGACACTCACTACTTATATATATATATATATAGTATAAGTAAACCCACTCAACGAAAATTATGACATTATTTTATAATGTAATTTCTAGAATAAAGAAGTGTGTATATATGTATTTTACACAACCAAGTCTTTGAGAAAAATGCAATACTGTATATATATATTTATTATTTCAAAAGCCGTCTCTTTCACTATATATTAATTGAATTTTTTTCATCTCTGAACATAGCTTTTCCACATCCGTCTTGGACCACCTACTTTCTTCACTTTCATTGGACACCCGCAGACATATATATTGTATATAGGAACACTTACATTTTTTTTCTTCTTATTTTTTTACAGGTTCTTGCACTTTATCGTGGCCTTGTAATATGTTTAATTCCAATAAAAACAATTGGCTCGTGAATCACAGATTCCATGTCTCGTTTATGGATTAGAATTGATCACACTCTGAAACTGAAAAAAAATGTATGATTAAATTATATAATGTGCGACGAAAAGGAAATTCATATTATAAATTGAGAATAATGGAATATGATTATAATATAAATAAATGGGTCAGAATTTCTCAAACGGATCACCTAAAATTTAGAAAATTTTTTTTTAGTCTCATTTTTTTCTCAACGGTTTCTTACACAAAATTGTGTGGGGAATTCAAAAAAAAATTAATTTTCTGTAGGACGTCAAGAACACTATTTTTGAATAACATTTTATAAATAAATAATATAAAAATCTATTAAATATGAAATTTTTTCAAAATAAAAATTATATTTAGAAACTACATTTTAAGACGAGAAAAACCCTTTTTTTTTTAATTGGTGAACAGGAACTCGAGAAAAAAATTTTTTAAAATAAGACTGCAAAAAATTTCAATTATTTATAATTTTAACGAAAAAATTTTTTTTGACCTAAAAATTTCAGGGACTTATTTTTACCATGTACACGGGAAAAAGAGAAACGTTGGATTAATACCGTTTTCCGATTGGTTCAACGTCAGTGGGCCCTGTCACGATTTCGGCATTGATTCAACAGACTTTTACTGTTGAACCTACTGTCCATCTGTTGTTACAAGTAAGTTGATCCAACAGACACTGCCTACAGCGCTCCTTGCCGTTGAACCAATCGGAAAACGGTATTAATCCAACGTTTTTCTTTTTCCCGTGTAAGGAGTCAAAAGAAATGATTTTTGATTAAAAAAAAAATTTCTGAATTTTAGGTGATCCGTTTGAGAAATTCTGACCCATATATATATATATACTAGAGGGGCTTTGCCCCCCTGCGCGCCTCGCGCGCTAACCCCCTATTTTTTATTGGTTTTGTAGATGTTTATGAGTTAATGTTTAGACAATTTCTGGAATTTAAAACTATTATTAATATTTTAATATTTATTTCTTTAAATGTCGTTTACGATTTTTATTAACAATAATTTTCATTATTTTCAATTTTTAAAACAAAATTTATCTAATTTTTTTACATTTTCCAGCTAAAATTTGACCTACATTTAAGGTTATGTTCGTTTTTTGGTCATTTTTCTTCAAAGTTTGACCTAAATTTTGAGGTTATGTTTGTTCCTTTGTCTTTTTGCGCCAAATTTTGGCCTAAATTTTGGGGTTATGTTTGTTTCTTGGTCGTTTCCCGAAAAAATAACTTAACCTTAAAATTTAGTTCAATTTCGTCGGAAAATCCACCTCTCCATCAACGTAAGGAAGGAGGGGGGCCTTGCCCACTATATTCACAGTCTCTAAACGAACATAACCTTTAAATTCAGGTCATTTTTGTCAGGAAATCTACCTCCACTTGCGGCTATATTGAAAGTCTTGAAATGAACATAACCTCATAATTTATGTCATTTTTGGTGGGAAATACGGAGAAAGATGAGGGAAGGGGGAACAACTTGCTGATCTATTCAGAGTCTTGAAACAAACATAACCTCAGAATTTAGGTCACTTTTGGCGGGAAATACGGAGAGAGGGGAGGACTTTCGACCCTATTCAGTTTTGAAACGATCATAACCTCAAAATTTATGTCATTTTTGGCGAGAGACAGGGGACTTGCGGCTATATTGAAAGTCTTGAAATGAACATAACCTCAAAATTTATGTCGTTTTTGGTGGGAAATACGGAGAAAGGGTAAGGGAGGGGGGAGGACTTGCGGCCCTATTCAGAGTCTGGAAAGAACATAACCTTAAAATTTAGGTCATTTTTTGCCAGGGAGGGGGGGACTTGCAGCTATATTCATATGGATCATTCCATATCAAGTGTAACCAACTATTGTACTATCCATGTCAAAAACATGGGTTTGGCTCACCTTTACCTAACCTTGTCAAAAACATGGGTTGGGTACACTTGACATGGAATGACCCATCCTTGTCAAAATTTCTGAAACAGCGGAGGCGGCGGCGAAATCTTTTTATAATATAGAAAGATATATATATATAGATAAAAATTACTTTTCTTATAATAAAATATTTCCTATTAATCAAAACATTACAGAGGCATTTTACGTGTAATGTCCTGAGTTGAAAAATTGATTTCTCGAAAAAAAGTGAAATTTGGGGAAATTGTTGTCTTACCTGATAGTAAAATATCCCCAAAAAAATTTTTTACTTTTTTGAAATTTTGGAGGAGATAGAGGGGGGGTCAATTTTATCAGTTTTCCCTGATACCTATTTGAATTTATTCTGTCAAATTTAATTTTCAGTTTTTTGAGTCGAAAAATTATTACTTATTAAAAGGACGTCAAAAAAGCTATCGAAATTGATATTTTATTATATGCCAAAAGTTATGAACGTTCAAATGAACAACATTTTTTTTGCAACTTCTTTAATTACGAATTTTATTGTTTTAAATATCTAACAAGAAGTTATTAATTTAATAATTGTTTAATTTACTGTTTTATTTTACATTTCCATCATAATTTTTAATAATTTATATATTGAAAAAAATATTTCGTTCATTTGAACGTTCAGAACTTTTGGCTCATATTTTATTTCATTATTTGAGAAAAAAAATTAACTTTAACCCCGCCATAAAAAATATTGGTCAAAGTGGAAAACTTTTTTTTTACGAAAAATTACAGTCCAATAGACACAAGATTTTATTTTGGTAATACATATCTACTAAAAATTATTTTTTTTTACATATAATTAATTAAATTTGACTGTTAAATTAGTTGTTTTCTACTAAAAATTAGTTATTTTCTACTAATTGAAATAGGACCGATTCGTTCACGGTTTTACTGTGAATTAGTAGTTTTGTATTAATTCAGATTTAGAGAGTATAGTGACCTGCGACTAAATTTGTTAGCGAAAAGTTCGCTACCACAGAAAATTTGTTCACTGTAAAAATTTTCGCTAATTTTTAGTCAAATTTTACTATTTCGTTTAATAATTCTTAATTGTTTAGTGAAAAATTACCAAAAATTAGTTGACATTTTACTAATTTTAATTAAAGAAATATTTTTCACTAATTCAGATTTAGAGAGAAAAAGTAAATCTTAATTTCACAAATATACAAATTCTACATCCACATTTAATAATTATTTAAAATCGACTTTACAAATTTCTGTAATGTAGGTTGCTCTTACCTTTAAAAATGATTAAAAATGTAGACAATACAGTTGTAAAATTAACATTTTTTTTTAATATTTCTAATCCAAAAAGGTAATTTGATTTTTAAGTAAAGTACAAAAAGTCTGAATTTTAAAAATATGTATGTATTTTCATTTTAATGAAAATTTAGTTACATATGAATTTTTTTCAAATTAAACAGTAGCTTCAGTTATGTTTCAATTGGTGCTATACTTAAAAAAATTTCCATCTCCAATAATTTTTAATCATATCACTAGCCTTCTCAGCAATCATAATTGTTGGCGCATTAATATTACCGCGAGTAATTTTTGGCATTATTGATGCATCAACAACTCTTAAACTCTTTATTCCATAAACTCGTAACTGTGAATCAACAACAGCTTCTGAATCAGATTTTGGACCCATTTTACAAGTGCCCACTGGATGATAATCAGTGCCCGTGTAATATCTCATCATACAAAACCAATAATCATCAGTATTAAATTGCCATTTTTTACAAAGTGGAAATGGTTTTTTATCAAGTGTCATTTCATTTTTTTGAAAGACTTTTGTCTTAAATAGCGAAAGAAAAATTCTTATTCCCTCCAATAGTCGTTCACGATCTGGATTTTTAGTGAAGAATCCATGACGAATTATAGGTGCACCCCAAATTGGATCTGATGCATTTAGAGTTATTGTCCCTCTACTATTGGGATTTAACACTATTGTAAATATAGTTATCATATTATAAGAATTTGGAGTAGTGACGTGTCCCTTACTGTCAAATGGTACATAATTGTATTCAATATCAGGAACTCGTTGCTGTTTCTCTAAATTTGTTTTGACAAAGGTAATACATTGCAAAGGTCCCATTGTAGCCAGTGGACCTGTTTGATTCTTTAAATATAGTTCTACGTCTTCAATTCGTTTCTTTAAACTCTTTTTGGTTGAAGTCTTGTTGAGTTTGATACGAAGACCACCAACTGTCACGTGATCATGTAGATTTCGACCTACTGGTAAATCTTTTATGATTTTGATATTGTGCTTCTTTAATTCTTGAGATACACCAATTCCGGAGAGCATCAGCAATTTTGGAGAATTAACTGTACCAGCTGATATAATTACTTCTTTTTGTGCCATTACTATCTTCTTTTTGCCATACTTGTTGGTGTATTCAACACCAATTGCCTTCTTTTTTGAATTTATTATGACTTTTGTGACGAATGCCTCAGTTTCGATAAATAGATTTTTCCTTTTTTCCCTGATTGGGCGGATAAATGCATCGTTAGTGCTTTGACGTCTTCCATTAAGTGTCGTTGTTTGAGCCGACATGACTCCAATTTGCTTATCAGCATTCACGTCTATATTTTCGTATCCTAATTCCTGCCACGCTTTTGATAATAAATGTACATTTGTGTCATTGTATAGAACTTTTTGAACCGGTAGATAGCCACCTTTCTTGTGGTAAAAGGGATTTGCCTTCACAATCTGAAAATTAATTAACAATTAGTACAATCCACTTATGAATTTGGGATGTTGGGGGAAGATGAAATTGAACACATCATGTTTATGTACTTTAAATGACAAAGTGGAAACAACAAAAGTTGACGAAATTTTAATAAAAGCTTTCGAAGCAGTTAGAGATAAGATTGTCAAACTCTACCAAAAAAACAAATTGGGTTTACTGTGTTGCTTTAGTTATAGATCCTCGGCACAAAGTAGAGATTTTCGAAATACAGAAAAAAAACAATGGAAGTCTTTTTGAATGCGAAACTTTAAATCTAAATTCTATTTGGCACTAAAAGGAGCAGATAAAAATTAGAACATTTTAGAATGGTGGAAAGCATAACAAAATTTACCAATAAACATTTATATTCTGTACATACAATTTTTTATTTTATTGATATTGTCGCTTCGCAAGAATGTGATCGAGACGTGGCGACCTCTGACAAAATTTGATTACTAATATATTATATTAATTTGATAATTAGATGGCTAATAGCTTTGATAGAAGTAGGAACACAGCGGTGTTGTCTAACAGAATTTTAATTGTAATTAATTATTGACGCGTTCTGTCTTTTAAAAACTAATTTTCTTTGTAAAATAATGTTATAAAGTGGAGTGACATTATTAAAACAATAAATTGATATATTAAATGTACAACTATTGAAGTGAATTTATTTTTATAATTTATCCTCTCCATGCGGTAAGGGAACATTTAAATAGACGTTGCCGCTGAACAGATACTTTTAAGGTTATAAGGCTAGAAAAGATCCGACACCAGTAAATTTTTATTTTTTTAAGATTATTTTCTAATCTAAAATTAATTACATATCTTTTTAGATTCTTACATTATCATCTCGATTATCTTCGGATTTTTTGAAATAATACAAAACTTCTTTGTAACTCCAGCCTTTGTTGCCTAATTTAGCCCAATTATCATAGTCTGAAGGTGATCCTCTTACATATAACATTCCATTGGTAGAACTCGAACCACCCATTACCTATCGAGAGGGAAATTATTTTTTGCCTTATAATTAAAAAACTAATTGTCAGTTACTTACTTTACCACGTGGCATTGGACAGCCATTGTTTGCTAGACAAGAACTTTCTTCGGGTTCAGTTTTATAGGTCCAATCAACATTACTGCCATGTAATATAAATGATGACGATGGTAGTTCATTAATTTTTAATTCCTCTCCACCTGCTTCCAAAAGGAGAATCTATTTGCATTAAATTTAATTATTATTTTACATTTTGTTTATTGAATTTTATATATATATATATTTACTTTCACAGAAGTAGAAGAATATTCTCATTAATTTTTTTAATCAAGAAAAAAAAATATTACTTACTTTCCAATTTTTAATTTCCGTTAATCGATTAGCAAGAACGCATCCTGCGGAACCTGCTCCGACAATAATAAAATCTAATTTTTTTGGTATTTCACGAGGTAAATTCTTATCTCTTGATTGACCGAATATTAACGAGAGAATTGTTATAAACATCACAAATTGTGATGGACAAGTTGAACATTTTTCACCCAAATCACACAAATCTTGATAATCTTCTCCTGGAATCCAAACCATGATATTCTGATGATTATTTCTTTTTACAAGGTTCTAAAATTCATAATTTTAGTTATATTTAATCAATTATTATTATACAATGAAATAATTTTTTGCGTTTTAATTTATTTTGTTTTATATATAATCTTAATTAGTTTATAATATATACTGATAATCAGAACGTTATTTAAAATCCTTTTTTAATATTTTCACTTCACTTTTATAATACTTTATTCATAATTTTTCTAAACGAACTAATTTCACTCGAGTTTATAAGTTTATTTTTTTATTTACATAATACTAAACTGATAAGCCATAATAAGGTAAACAAGTTTCTAATAAAGATATTAATAATAATAATTATTATTGTAGGAACTGTCTTTATGCGACTAGATCATTTTTTTCAAACATGTGGGGCTTTTCAAGAAAGACAACTTCAACGTATTAAATTTTCTTAATAATGGATAAAAAAAATGTCGTATTTTGCATCTAGATTGATATGCTAAAAGATTTATTCAAAATGTTTAATAATTTCGATGTTATGAACATTTAAAATATTTATGGCAATTTTTTTCAAGATTAAAAATCAGCTAAAGTATTGATTTTAGAATGCAATGTTGCATCTACAAAAAATTATTGATTTATTAAATTTTATGAATTTTTTTTTTAAATTAATAACTTGAGCGTCTGGGTAATACAATTTGCGTTGCTCGTGAAGGTGGCAGAAATGCAAAAAAGGCGTTTCTAAAGGAGTTTAAACTTTTAAATAAAAGATCTTTAACGGGTACCAAACATTTTTTTTCCTTCTTCTAAAAAAGGTTTAAAGAATTTTTTAAGAGAATAAAAAATTATTTTTTGAAAATTCTACATAACTTTTTAATAGGAAATTAATAATTATATATAAGATACATGAAAAGATAAATATATAGCTTTTCTTGCCTTTTCAAATAATCTTTTTATTTTTATATATAAAATTGTTGCTGCTGAAATATAAGTAATTAACGGTAAGGTAGAATTGAATGAATAATTAAAAGCTTTGATCTTGTTGCTTATGGCATATGTTACTATAAACACATTGCAAAGTGAAAATAAAAATTATTTAAAGCAAATAACTGGAATAATTGCTTTTTAAATGAAATAAGTATATATATTTATTTATTTAATACATATGTGTTATCACAGTAAACTTGGTTGTATCTTTTTCTATTGCAACGTTTTGATGCACATAAGTTATATCAAAAAGAGATCGTTTTGTGTATCACTTTTAGAAATGATACACGAAACGGTCTCATTTTTTGATGCAAAAAATTTAATCAATTTATATCAATCATGGCCGAATTGAATCGAATGAAAATTAAACGAATTTTTTTCAGATATTTTGGTAATAGTACAATTGCGGAGACCATTTCACTATTTAATTTGAAAATGAAAATAACAGAAAATCAAAGACAATGTGCAATTCGATAATTAAAAAGTGACAGCTTATAAACATAACCTAAAATGCATGACAAAAAATTTGTCGATAAAATCAATATAGCCGAGCTTTTTAGAAGGTAGATGGCAGTTTTGCTTTTTATAAAAACGATTCAGAAAAAATTTAAAGAATGAAAATAGATGAGTGCTGCCATCTACCTTCTAAAAAGCTCGGCTATATTGATTTTATCGACAAATTTTTTCTCATGCATTTTAGGTTATGTTTATAAGCTGTCACTTTTTAATTATCGAATTGCACATTGTCTTTGATTTTCTGTTATTTTCATTTTCAAATTAAATAGTGAAATGGTCTCCGCAATTGTACTATTACCAAAATATCTGAAAAAAATTCGTTTAATTTTGAGTCGATTCAATTCGGCCATGATTGATATAAATTGATTAAATTTTTTGCATCAAAAAATGAGACCGTTTCGTGTATCATTTCTAAAAATGATACACAAAACGATCTCTTTTTGATATAACTTATGTGCATCAAAACGTTGCAAAGATTTGATGCAATTTTTGGTCTCAATTTGATACTTTTAGGAAAACTGTGATATTTACTATATAATAGAAAATTAGTTACATCCTTGAAAATTATTTTTCTTTAAATTAAACAGAATACGTGTAGTTTATGAAGATAGGGTTCTCTGTATTTATAATGAAAGTCCGGCTTAGATGTGTGTGGAGAGAAACATTCGGTAACCAGGGTAACAGAGCTTGTCAAAGGGAAATGAAAATCACTTACTCCATTTCAGCTTGTGTAGAACATAAATAACTAGTTTCAAACAAGTAACTGTGGTTAATTTAAACATTAGAAAATTTCCAATAATCATTTATTGATTCTAATAAATATATATGAAATGATTTTTGAAATTTATTTCTTAATTAAGTGTAAATTCACATATATATAAAATATCACCAGAAAGAAAGTTTAATTCAGAAGAATTATTCCTTTGATGTAAAGAAATTCTGTTTGAATCAATTCTTTGAATCAAAGAAATCTTGAGTTTAATTGAAAGAACATTTTTATTTCATCTTATACAGTAATGCTATAATTTTTATTAATTAAAAAAAAAGTTTTTTAATATAAAACAAAATGTCTTTAGACAATGAAAAAAAATTATTTTAATTAAGATAATAGCTTACTTGATTATTATCAAATAAATATTTATTTGTATCAATTATTTATTTGAGTCAATTAAAATTTTAAATACAGAAATTATTCACTCAAATACAGTTTATTTGATAATAGACAATTAATCGATTATTATATACATTGAAGTCTTTTGGAACAAATTATATAAGGAAATATATTTATTTCCACTGATTCTTCATAATATTGAAATTATGTGAAATTAATAATATTTATTTACGAAAAATAATTGACAATGTATATAGGTGCTGGATCAATCTGATGTGCAACCAGCTATTTATAAGTGGCTTACCAATTGAAGTGTAAAAGCGATGAAAGTGACACAAGTGATTAAGCACATTTTGCCATTACTGAAATAAGGAACAAAAAAAAAGTAAGAAAAGATTCTTCAACGACTAAAAGCGGCCATTTCTTTGACAAGCGAAAAGCAGATAAATGTAAGTTATTTTTCAAATTAAATTCATTTGACTGCCCAATTTTCATATTGAAAAATTTCTATATATTTAACTGAATTCTTAATAGAATTTCTATTCAACTGAACTTTTATAAAGAAAATTTTCTAATATATCGAATATTTTCAAATAATTCAATTTCCATTTAACAGAATTTACGTCTAGCAAAAAAATTTTTAAGTGAGAGTTTTTCTATTTCACCGAAATTTCGTTTAAACCAAATTTTCAATTGTCTGAATTGTCATTTCATACTCTCTAAATCTGAATTAGTAAAAATATTTACTAATTTAAATTAGTGACTCACTTTTTGCATTAGAATTAGTTAAATTTTACTAATTGTTAGTAAAAGTTACTAATAATTAGTAAAATTTCACTAATTTAGAAGCAAAAAGTGAGTCACTAATTCAAATTAGTAAACATTTTTTTTAATTCACATTTAGAGAGTAGAATTGATGAAATGTCGAATTTCCTTGATAGAAATTTCACATATCAGATCATACAGATGGCCGAAACTTTTTAGCGGGAGTTTTAAAATCCACCAATCACAATTTTCTTGATAATTTTTGATTGGTGGATTTTAAAATTCCTTGCTGAAATATTTCGGCGAGGTGTATATGATCTGATATGTGAAAATTATATCAAATGGAAATTCGACATTTTAACAGGACAATTTTGACAATTATTGAAAGTTCAGTTAAATGGAGTTTCGGTGAATTAAAAATTCTCTCATTTAAAATTTCATAATCAGCTACCTAAGCATAATTTTTGTTAAATAAAAATTAGGTATAATAGAAATTTGATAAAAATGTATTTTAATGAACCAAATATATGCTCGATGAAATAATTTATTTAAATCAAATAAATTGTTAACCTGTGAGGAACAAACTTTATTGTTTCGATTAAGATATCACTGTAAACTTGATGAATTTTAAGAAAGAGAGAAGCGAAAACTTATAAATTGCGAGCAATTAAATAAGAAAAAATTTATTTCGAAATAAAATCAAATACACTAACCTTTATTTATGTTTATCACATAAGATTTAAGTTAAGTTCACAATCACAACACTTGAAAATTTTTAATTATTTTTGTGGTTCAAATAATTATCAATAATTTATTTATTATAAATGAACAAAATTTAAGCAATGCACGCTTGATAAATATTTCTAATACGTTGTCAATTAATGCAATTTATAATTTTCTATTACACAACATCATAATCGACATATATGACATTTGTAAACAAACAGGGTTGGGAAACAAGAGCCCAAAATATGTTCGTCCAAAGCAGAGTTGGGTAGGATTTAAATTATGTCCAACAATAATTTTCAGAAACTGTATGCATTTTCCAAATTCTCGCTATGAGCGCTCAGTTATCACGAAAAGGTTCTCAACCTGTTTATAAAAGTATAGTTTAGTTTCATTGATGAAACATTAAATTAATATTAACATTAAACATTTAATTTTAACATTTTAACATTAAACATTAAATTTCATTAGTTAAAACATTGCAATTCAGAGCTGAACGTGAAGCAGACTATAGTTTTTCATGTTTTTGATCAAGACAACGTTCGACACTCTTACTGAATTTCTAATTAATAGAATTTTCATTTGTCTGAACAAAGATCGCAACATTTGAATTTTTTTCATTATTTTTACAGTTCAAATTATTTTTAACAAAACTATTAAAAAATAATTATTCAGTTTTTCCCTATTTCAAAATTACATGTGCGTTAACCTTCAACGTGAAACAGAATCCTACCCAACTCTGCTTTGGACGAACATATTTTGGACTCTTGTTTCCCAACCCTGTTTGTTTACAAATGTCATATATGTCGATTATGATATTGTGTAATAGGAAATTATTAATTGACAACGCATTAGAAATATTTATCAAGCGTGCTTTGCTTAAATTTTGTTCATTTATAATAAATAAATTATTGATAATTATTTGAACCACAAAAATAATTTAAAAATTTTCAAGTGTTGTGATTGTGAACTTAACTTAAATCACACGTGATAAACATAAATAAAGGTTAGTGTATTTGATTTTATTTCGAAATAAATTTTTTCTTATTTAATGGCTCGCAATTTATAAGTTTTCGCTTCTCTCTTTCTTAAAATTCGTAATAAAAGTATTTTTAATATCTGAATATTCAGCGCAGTGAATAAATTAATTAATAAACTTGTCAATAAGAGCATGCCAGCCATGACAGTTATACTTTGATACCAATTCAGGTATCAAAAAATGATCCCATATTCTGGATCATATCTTGAAATTGATCCAAATATTTGGATCAATTTGATACCTTTTATCGAATCAAAACGTTGCATGAGTTGATCTTAATTCTTGTATCAATTTGATACACACAAGAAAACTGTGATATTAAAAGTTAGTTAAATGCAATAAATTATTTGATTTATTCAAATAAATGTAAATTGAATAATTTAGTTGAATCAATCAAACGTTTGTTTAACTTTATAGCAAAATGCATTTATTTGATAGTTTCACAAAAAAAATTTCTCTATGTTTATAATAGTTGCGATATAAAAGTATAATAAGAAGAAAAAGTTAACTGTCAAGAATCTTTTTTTTCGCGATGATGTTATGACGTTGTAGTCGATAACTGCATATTTCATTTAGATGAAGTAACTTGATCTCTTAGTCAGCTATGATCTATGTATATTTCATGGTTGTTGAACCATCCAACTAAAGCGCAATTAGTTTCAGGAACCCTCCTGGCTGTTATCGTCACTTCACGACTCAGAGGGGTATAGTTTCCTGAAGTGATAAGTAATCTCTACAGAAGAAAAAACTTTCAGATTTTCCTTGACTTAATTCCTTTCATTATATTTTCTTTTACATTCAAAAAAAAAATTATTAGTAATATTTATTTTTTTGTTCACGACTATTAGTTTTTTTCTATATTTATTCTTCTAAGAATAATAAATATTGAAATAAATAGGTTAGTATTATTTTGACACCAAATTATTCGTAACAATTATTATAATGTATAACCGGTAATTGTGCAATTGAAAATAAATTAATTTACTCTTAAAATTAAAAGTATATAAAAATAGTATAAAATAACATTTTATATTTTAATGTATATACAAACTAACATTATCACCGGTTGTACAATATAAAAATTGTTACGAAAAATTTTGTGGCAAAGTAATATCCGAGCCAAATAGATATCTTAAAAGTACAGAAAATTAATGATAAAATCAATTAATGCACAGTGGGGAAATTTTGCTTTTCAATATTTACTCTTTTAAGTCGTATTTATAAAAACGATTTTCTCGTAATAGAAACCTTTTTTTAAATTCTTTATTATTCTTTGCCTTTTCTCAAACATGAGATTATCTCTTCTCATATAATCCCTAATCGTCACTGCGAGAGTAAAACTCTCTTATCTCTTTGAACCTTTTTTATACAAACTTTTTTTTCGTGCGAGATTAGAATCACAAACTCTTGACATTTTAACTAACTGGTTATTATTATTATTTTTTTTAAATTCTGAAAATACATCTCCACGTAGCGTATAATTTCTTACTTACTTACGTTTTTTAAGAAATAAGTTGTAATCGAATTTCTGTATTTACAAACAAAAACTAATCGACACTTTTTTTCATAACGTTAGAATTTCTTTTTTAAATGCAAATTAGAGCCAAATCGTCATGGTGAAGCCCCCTGTATCACTTATAAAATTAGAAATTATGATTTTACTAAAATGCAGTAATTTATTTATTATTGTTTTAAGTTTAAATACTATATGCTATCGGTTGAAAAAATTTTTTAAATCATTTTTTCGATGTTAATTCTTTTTCCCAGTTTTGTGCGTCATGGTGAAGCCTTTTAATAAAATTGAATTATTTCATCAAAACAAAACTTTATTATAATTTAGCAGAAACAATAATTAACTCCCCCAAGTAGATTCAGTACGGCAGAAACTAATTTTATAATTAATTTTTTTGTTTTTATACAATTTTAAAGCGCTAATTTTACACAGGGAATCACAGAAACGTCATGGTGAAGACTTAACATATTTTACAATAAATCTTCTATTTTAGTAATTTTGAAAAGCCATATAATTTAATTTAGTAGGTAAATGATCTTAACCAGTGTTTGGCCTAATGGCTTAATTATATTTTGTTCTTAATCATATGACGCGTTTCGATACAGTATACTGCATCCTCATCAGATCTACAAAGATTATAATTATAAATTTACAGAAATTATAATATTGATAAATACTTTAAAGATTGACAAATTGACAGATTTTTACAGAAAAGTAAAGTTTTTATACATACATTTTTTATATAAATACATTTTTTCGATTTTTTAAAAAAACATAACCTTAAAACAATGCAAGCATGTTAATTTTTTTATCAATTTAAATGTATGGTATGTATAAAAACTTTACTTTTCTGTAAAAATCTGTCAATTTGTCAATCTTTAAAGTATTTATCAATATTATAATTTCTGTAAATTTATAATTATAATCTTTGTAGATCTGATGAGGATGCAGTATACTGTATCGAAACGCGTCATATGATTAAGAACAAAATATAATTAAGCCATTAGGCCAAACACTGGTTAACATCATTTACCTACTAAAATAAATCTTCTATTATATTAAAATCATAATTCCGAAATTTTGTCGGAATTTTCGAATTTTTATTTTTTTTTCTCTATTTTTTAACCGTTTCTTTTTATATCGCTATGCCTCATAGATTTCAAGGAAATCTATCAGAAAAATCGTCATAATACTGGTTTTTTTATCCTAATACGTTTTTTATTCGATTTTCACGGTTTTCGTGGACAATTTCGAAATACAAAACAAACATTTTAATATAATAGAAGATATTTGAAATATTTTGAAATAATAATAACTTTTAAAAAAGTTGTAAATCCAGATGTTGATTACATGAACATTTTGCTTCCTCTTTACGATCAGCAAAAAAATTTGCTTCCTCGT